CAACTAAGGAACTCTTACCTCTCCAATTGCAAAAGAAGGAATGAAGTCTATCAATTTAACTACATGGAATTTATAATGCTCCCTGGAGAAATACTCTCACATTCAAATTAAATTTTGAATACAATGTCATTCCATGGAAATTCTTGTTAAAATCTTTATCAAGGTAGGTAAGCAACAGGTCAACACAGGAGTAAGGAAAACAGAGTAGATCCTACTAAAACCCAGTTATGTAAGAGATTATTTGCATGGGGAGATTCTCAATCTAAGATACACGAGATGCAGAAGCATAAATTCAATACAATACAGAGAAAACTATTTCTATTATAAATCTAGAATCTCTTTGCTTGCTAGGAAATCATCAATTTTCAAACTTGGAAATGACCTCGTTTGAACGAAGATTCCTTTTCCTTCTGAAGATAAAGGTACACACACATATGTATGTACATGTGCTTCTTCCTACTTAGTTCTGGGACTTCAAAATCTATCTTTAGCTTAATATAACACATTGCATTCTGTGCAGATCAAAACCCTAAAACTCTGCTTGTGTTCTCTATGCTCACAAAACAACAGGAGAAACATACAGGGTAAAATTTGATTGATAGTCCTTGAGAATTGTGTAGCTATGGCTTATCATTATATTTGTAGTGACTTTGTTCAATTAGCAATCGTTGGGTAGAACCCCTAGGCATTAGATGGTGAGCCATGGTTCAGGACAAGAAAAAGAAACTAACATTTATAAAAATCATTCACAACAATCTTTATCAAAATCTTAGCAATAAAAAAAATCTTATAATTTTGAAATAGAGAAATACACTAAAAACCATTCTGTGAGGTCAGCAATACCCTGATATCAAAGCAGTATAAACAAAAGATAAAAGGCTAGTTTATCTGATGAAACTTCTGCTACTCTGGCTTTCTTTGGACATCCATCTGCATGTACAAAATAGAGTCAAAAGAAAAAAAAGAATCACACTGAAAATACTGATCCCTCTCTAGAGATCCACCTGCCCCTGAATCCTTTCAGGTCTACTAACAAATACAGTTAACCATTGAATAACATGCTTTTTATCAGTAATGGTCCATTTACACAGACAAGTTTATCTTGATAAATCCAGCACACTACAGTAAATGTCTGTGCACTATGATTGCCTTAATATTTTATTTCTTCAAATTACTTCCTTATAAAACTATGGTATATACAGTGGACTATATACGAAGAATGGGATGACTCACAACATGTTGTAATTAACCCATCAAACACCACAGATGAAAGGAGACTTTTGAAACAGAATGACAGGGGCACCTGGGTGGCTCAGTGGGTTAAGCCTCTGCCTTCGGCTCAGGTCATGATCTCAGGATCCTAGGATGGAGCCCTGCAAGGGCTCTCTGCTCAGCAGGGAGCCTGACTCCCCCTCTCTACCTGCCTCTCTGCCTATTTGTGATCTCTGTCAAATAAATAAATAAAATCTTAAAAAAAAAAAAAGAAAGAAAGAAAATCACTGGTAGGATTCTCAGTAGTCCAAACAGGAATGGTACTCAGGTACTCAAAGATTGAAAAATAGCCACCAACAATACTTAACCTAGAAAAATTCTTTTCCATAAAGGCAGAAACAAAGACATTCCCTAGTGAAAGCCCCTCTACGTTTACCAGTAGATCTGTCCTGCAAGAACCATTAAAGGAAGCCTTTCTATATGAAACAAAAGGATTCTAATCAGAAACTGAACCACACAAGAAAACAAAGCTTCCGCTGAACATAAATATGTAGACAATTACACAAAGCTTCAGTATTGTAATGATATACCAGTCACATTTATTTTTGCTACACAGTTGTTGTTTTTTAAGATTTTTATTTATTTATTTGGCAGAGAGATCACAAGTAGGCAGAGGAAGAGAGGGAAGCAGGTTCCCTGCTAAGCAGAGAGCCCAATGAGGGGCTCCATCCCAGGACCCTGAGATCCTGACCTGAGCCAAAAGCAGAGGCTTAACCCCATGAGCTACCCAGGTGCCCCCAGAGTTTTGTTTTTAAAAAATCATCAATGTAGGTCATAAAGTAAACAACATAAAAGAATTTGTGATATCAGTAACGAAGTGGGCAGGGGGTGCAGGGATGGAGACAGGAAGAAGAGTTTTCTATGTAACTGACACTGAGTTTTAAATGGTTTGTTTTGCAGCTAAGTTGTTTTAAAGAATCTTTAAGGTAACCACAACGAAAATACTCATGGGATACAAAAGTCAATGAGAAAGATACCAAGGCCTATCATGGGTATTAATCCTGCAATTAAAGATAAAACAAATCTTTCATATTTCATCCCAAAACATGATACAGAAGTATAAAACGATTGAAAATTACTTTGAATTCAAAAAAGTCTCTCATGCAGAGAGAATAAAAATTCACCCACAAATATATGATGAAATGAATTCTGTGTGGACGACAACTCACCTAGACATAGGACAACATTCACTGACCACTCATCATGGAGACAAAGAGTAGGGGTCACACAGAATGTATGTGTGACATACAAACACAAGACAGACACACATAATTTACAGGCAAAAAGCATGAAGGTCATTCTGTTTTGAGGTACATTAATGAGTGAGTTACACTCACATGGTCTTGAAACACACTGAGGTGAAAATTCTCTCCCTATAACAACACACACAGATAAAACCCAATCCACACCTCACTAATATTGTGGAATAAACCAGACATAGGAAGCACATTATTAGGAAAACAGAGTAAGAGAAAAATCAACCCAAGAAATTCTAAATAAAACATTGATGTGGGGCGCCTGGGTGGCTCAGTGGGTTAAGCCGCTGCCTTCAGCTCAGGTCATGATCTCAGGGTCCTGGGATCGAGCCCCACATCGGGCTCTCTGCTCAGCGGGGAGCCTGCTTCCCTCTCTCTCTTTCTCTCTGCCTGCCTCTCCATCTACTTGTGATCTCTGTCAAATAAATAAATAAAATCTTTAAAAAAAAAACCAAAACATTGATGTATGACAGAAAAAGAAACTTCTCTATAACCATAATTTTAAACAGTATCCACGTACCCGTGAAAAGGAAGCATTTGACTGGCATGTCTTCATGGACTATAAAATTATAAAGAATTCTCATTAAAATCAATCATAAAGGAGAAGGGGGGTTGGGGGGGGTGGGGTTATGGACATTGGGGAGGGTATGTGCTATGGTGAGTGCTGTGAAGTGTGTAAACCTGGCGATTTACAGACCTGTACCCCTGGGGATAAAATATATTATATGTTTATAAAAAATAAAATTAAAAAAAAAAATCAATCATAAAAAGGTGTAAATGAAAATTTTACAAACACTTAAAACGCTTGAAAGAAATGTATTACTTTATTAATATATTCCTCCTCATACACAAAATATAATGCTATAATCCATTCTTTAAGACAGAGGAAATGAACAATATCTTCACTTCTAAATAAATAAACACTATGAAAGTTGGAAAATATGCTGAGAGACAGTGTATATGAAATTAATATTTGGAATTAAATTCTGATACATTCTGAGGAAAAGTAGAAGAAAAAGCTCATGATTAATTTCCCATGAAGCAACACTGCATTACTGAACACAAGGATGTTTCAAACATAGGGGACTGGGGTACCTGGGGGGCTCAGTCAGTCAAGCAGCTTCCCTCAGCTCAGGTCATGGGCTCAGGGTTTGGAGATCCAGCTCCACACTGGGCTCCCTGCTCAGCAGGGAGTCTGCTTCTCCCTCTCCTTTTGCTCTTTCCCTACTCATTCTCTCTCTCTGTGTCTTGAACAAATAAAATTTTTAAAGAAAATATATGGGAATTTTACTAATTGCCTAACTCACTTCTTATAAAGCACATGCCCATGTCGTATCGGGACATTTGATATAAAAATTCAGAGCTAAATCTCATATAGAACTAATTAGAAAATGAAAACACACATGACAAAGTCACAAGAAGTTCATAGAAGAAACATACGATGATGCAATTGTTTAAAAATAAGGTAATTAATGAGACTTTATTAAAGGCTACAAGTTCAAGTTCTAAATGTGCTAGTTCCCCAATAGAAATTGTTATGTAGGAATTCTAGGAAACAAGACATTACATTATTTCACCACCGAGGAATGGAACCCATAGAGTGGAAACTTCTATATTTAATACAAAAAAAAAAAAAAAAAGAAAGAAAAGAAAAAAGACCATTTGAAGGGAAATAAAGCAAATAAAGCAGTACATTTTTTTCATTTTAGGGTGATGCTTTGTTATCTAATGAAGTTACTGAATGACAATTTTTTTTTTTTTAAAGATTTTATTTATTTATTTGACAGAGAGAGATCACAAGCAGACAGAGAGGCAGGCAGAGAGAGAGAGAGAGGGAAGCAGGCTCCCCGCTGAGCAGAGAGCCCGATGCGGGACTCGATCCCAGGACCCTGAGATCATGACCCGAGCCGAAGGCAGCGGCCCAACCCACTGAGCCACCCAGGCGCCCCTGAATGACAATTTTTTAAGACTAAGATTAAAGCCTCCATAACATTAGAAAGCATAAGCCAGAAAACATTAAAAATCCGTCTCCAGTGTTCTGGGAATTTCTGCACTAAACCCCAGTGTGCATACAACTACCCTGATCTACTTGTCTCATGATGAAAACCAGAATTGACAAAGCCATAGCGTACAGGTCCTCAGAAAATAGGGAGATTTCCCCAGGGTCCTCACAGAAATGGAGAAGCTCCTAGATTAGGGGGGCCCTCCACCTCCAATCAGAGTCTCCTGGCCCTCCCTGTGGATGTGATGGACCATCACTAGAGCTGAAGAAGAATCCCTAGAGAACTCAAGAGCTTGATAATGTTGGAGAGAAGATGTCCCTCTGGGAGCCAGTGAGAGAGAGATAAAACTGGGCATGTCTCCCACTGACATTCATTCAAGGAGAGCTACTCGAACCACAGCTTAAGGTCTACCTTCCTCCTTCAGACTTGGACCTCCCCTCTGTCATCTGCCTCATTCATTCTCACCTACCTGGATGGAAGCCTCCAGTCTCCTTTCTCTTCACATCCCAGAGCTGCTTCTCTTGCTCCAAAAACATGATCAGGTCTGGCTTTGACAGAAGAAGACCTGTTTATGCAGAGAAAGGAAAATGACTATTGCTGCTGATTCTAACTTCCCATTAGGCTTGTGTTCAGCAAAGAAAGGACATTTTATAATCCTAGAAGATGGTTTTGCAAAGGCTGTTGCCCAACAGTCCCTTTAGAACACAAAGGAGGCATTTCCAATGTTCACATCCTGACCTCCACTTCCAAGTAGTAGACATGATAATAAGAGAAAATTTCGGGGCACCTGGGTGGCTCAGTGGGTTAAAGCCTCTGCCTTCAGCTCAGGTCATGATCCCAGGGTCCTGGGATCGATCTCCACATCACCCTTTCTGCTCAGCAGGGAGCCTGCTTCCTCCCAGCACCCCCCGCCCCGCCCCTCTGCCTACTTGTGATCGCTGTCAAATAAATGAAATCTTTAAAAAAAATTTTTTTTCTAATTTTTAAACATTAAAAAAAAGAGAGAAGGGGAAATTTCAGTTTAAGAGGTAAACAACAGCATTCTATGCCATCAAGTGTTTAGAATTGCCATTCATCTACACCAGGGTTGATGTTACCTTGAGGAAGGAGAAGCCAAGGCTGAAAAGGAAGTATCATGAAGATTTTTCTCCATCTACAAACCTCTACTTATTCCCCTCTCTGCCTGGATCTGAATTCCAGTCATTCAAAGAGAATTCTCCCAAGAGACGGTCTTCACAGGAAGGAATAAAACCCTGAGTGGGCACTCCAGTCAGAATGGCTAAAATTAACAAATCAGGAAATGACAGATGCTGGCAAGGATGCAGAGAAAAGGGAACCCTCCTCCACTGATGGTGAGAATGCAAGCTGGTGCAGCCACTCTGGAAAACAGCATGGAGGTTCCTCAGAAAGTTGAAAATAGAGCTACCCTACGACCCAGCAATCACACTACTGGGTATTTACCCTAAAGATACAAATGTAGTGATCCAAAGGGGCACGTGCACCTGAATATTTACAGCAGCAATGTCCACAATACCCAAACTATGGAAAGAACCTAGATGTCTATCAACAGATGAATAGATAAAGAAAATGTGGTATATATACACAAGGGAATACTATGCAGTCATCAAAAGAAATGAAATCTTGCCATTTGTGATGACGTGGATGGAACTAGAGGGTATTATGCTGAGCAAAATAAGTCAATCAGAGAAATACAATTATCATATGATCTCCTTGATACGAGGAATTTGAGAGGCAAAGTGGTGGGTTTGGGGGGTAGGGAAAGAAAAAAAGAAAGAAGGTGGGATTGGGAGAGAGACAAACCATAAGAGACTCTTAATCTTACAAAACAAACTGAGGGTTTCCGGCGGGGAGAGGGGTAGGGGGAGGAAGGTTGAGTTATGGACATTGGGGAAGGTATGTGTTATGGTGAGTGCTGGGAACTGTGTAAACCTGGTGATTCAAAGACCTGTCCCCTGGGGCTAATAGTACATTATATGTTAATAAAAAATGAAAATAAAAAATAAATAAAGTTAAAAACAACAACAACCCTGAGTGGGGTTTGGGAAATCTGGAAGGAGTCGTCCTCACCCAGGAAGCAGAGGTGTCCATAGTTCTCCAACATCACATCCCTGTATAGTTGCCGCTGAGTGTGGGTCAGGCATCCCCACTCCTCCAGGGAGAATTCTATGGCCACATCCCTGAATGTGAGCTGTCCCTGCAATAAATACCACAGTCACCAAGTGGCCATTGACACAGTTCACGATGGTCCCTAAGATGAAAGAGGAAGTTAGTATCACCACCTAGAACCAGACCTGACCTTTCCTTCTCTAAAAGAAAAACCTATGGGGCAGGGGGCTGCCTGGCTGATAATTTTCACTCCTTTCACTCCCAGAAGTCAACTCTATCCACTACACAGAGGTGACAGCCCTCCTTGTCCAGTGCAAAGTGTTGGGATGTGGGAGAGGAGCCTATGGTCAAACAATTCCTGACATATTTCTGAGGTGAAATATTGGGTTCTGGAGTGAATGACTAAGAAAGGATTGTTGAGATACCCGTGGTATGAACACTGTGGTCCTAACGCAAGGGGAGAGGAAAGTTGTGAGCAGTGACTGCTTCTATGCTGTCAGGTGGGGAAGGGGTGAGGGATAGCAGGAGGCTCTTAGGAATTTGGAAGCAAGTTTCCAGGACCCTCAGGGCCTCCCAGCTGGTGTTTTAATGAGGCTACTCACAGTAACACTTTAGTCAGGAGACCCTCCAGATATCTATCAGTGGGCCACAAGCTTGAAGGAGGGTGGCCAAGCTACATTTGGGGAATAGAGTTCAAGAAGTTTCCAAAGCAACTTTCAAATGTTAAAGAGGAATTAGAGGATCCTGGAAGTCTGGCTATTGTCAAGCTAAGGGTGCTTTTTGCATCCAACAAGACATTAACCTTGAGGCAGTTGTGAATTCCCTGAGGAATGTCCTACTCTGCCTTTCTTATATATTTTTCAAGGTTGGAAGTTGAAGGAAATTTAATTTTATCTGTAAGGACCGATTCAGCCAGAGCAGCCCCACCCCAGTTGAACTGCCATTTTGTTGCCATTTTGTTGTTGAACTGCCATTTTGTTGTTAAGACTTAAATTGACCTTGCCCCCCCAGGGGAACTTATTTAAAAGCAAGTCTGGGAAACCAATCCCACGTAACAAAGTCCAACTACAAGGGTGGGTCAGGCCAGGTGGAGGTATTCAGTCAGTGGGGGCACGGACGGTCTCCTAGCTACCAAGGAGTATGGGCCCCCACCCTTTGGGAGCCTTTTGGCGCCAATCCTAACCAAGGTGTGAAAGGCTGGTTCAAATGTCTACTAGGTTAAATTTTAATTCGATTGGTCACCTAGCATCACTGTGGAGTTTCCTGTGTGTTACAATCTCATTGGCCACCTGTGTGTGGCCAGGCCCAACCACACGGCCTTTGCTCTATAAAAGTTAGTATGGAAAGCAGGGAGGGGTCATCCTCTCTGTAGGGGTGGCCCCAACCAGTCTGTTTGAGGGTCGGTCTGATTCTTCATGCTTGGCATGAAATAAAGCTTTGCTTGACTTTCACTTTGTATCAGTCTCGCTCCTTTAATCATCCATTATTGGGGTACCCAATTTTGGGGGACCCAACATTATCCACACCTCTTTTTTTTTTAAAAGAATTTATTTATTTGAGGGGCGCCTGGGTGGCTCAGTGGGTTAAAGCCTCTGCCTTCAGCTCAGGTCATGATCCCAGGGTCCTGGGATCGAGTCCCACAACGGACTCTCTGCTCCGCTGGGAACCTGCTTCCTCCTCTCTCTCTGCCTGCTTCTCTGCCTACTTGTGATCTCTGTCAAATAAATAAAATCTTAAAAAATAATTTATTTATTTGAGAGAGAGACATTGAGGGAGAGAATGAGAGGGAAGTTCAGAAGGTGAAGCAGACTCCCCGTGGAGCTGGGAACCCGATGAGGGATCCGATCCCCAGATTCTGGGAACATGACCCAAGCGGAAGGCAGTTGCTTCACCAACTGAGCCAACCAGGCGCCCCTCCACACATCCTTTGACATTGTTCTCCTCCTCAGAAACTACAAGGAAGGGGACCCTGAAGACTTCAGTTGGTTAAGGGTCTGCCTTGTCTGCCTTCAGCTCAGGTCGTGATCCCAGACTCCTGGCATGGAGCCCTGAGTTGGGCTCCCCACTCAGTGGTGAATCTGCTTCTCCCTCTCCCCCTTTCCTCACTCATGTGCTCTCCCTCTCAACTGAGAATATGTTCAGAAAGAAATATAGGAAGAAAGAAAGAATCTACAAGCAAGATTACCCGAGATGAAAGAAGTTTATATCTGAAATGTGATAGTTTCTGCATATTGCCTAGTACCTTATGTTCCTTACAAATGACAGGAGAGAAAATAGGAACATTACAGGGGAGGATCTTGCAGACAGCACCAAGCCAATAAAAGAAGTTCACATCAGCTGAATGGAAACAAATTGCTATAGGCCCCTAATGCACATCAAAGGACACACCATCCCTGGTTGATTCCTGTGGACTCAAAGCAGGAATTCAGAAAACAAACCTAATTTTGGAAATACACTGGATATACATACACAATTCAATCAGTATACGATCTGTAGAGGCTGCTTTTAGGCAAACAGGCTTGAGCAAACGAGTGGAGGAAGAGCCCCAGTGACCACTTGGCTGGGTCCAGACAGGCCCATCGGGGGACCCACCTCAAAATTCCCAAGGCCCTTATGAACCGATGGGCTTCTGAAACCAAGTACAATGACCAAAAATGGGAAGGTTCCACATGTTCCCCATAACTCCCCCCCTTTTTTTAATTCTTTTATTTTTATTTATTTGACAGAGAGAGATCACAAGCAGGCAGAGAGGCAGGCAGAGAGAGGAGGAAGCAGGCTCCCTGCTGAGCAGAGAGCCCGACGTGGGGCTCGATCCCAGGACCCTGAGATCATGACCTGAGCCGAAGGCAGCGGCTTAACCCACTGAGCCACCCAGGCGCCCCCCCATAACTCCCCTTTAAGAAAACCTCCTACCCACTGCTCCTTGCAGAGAAGGTCTCCTGTGCCCTCCTGCCTGCTCATCTCTTAAGTCTTCAATTAATGTCTCAAGGCTTTGCCCTGCCCCAGGGGAATTCCATCAGTGCTGCTGACAGGCTTCCAGCCAATCATGGACCCACGTACTGACAGAGACACAACACTGAGCCACCACAGCTTCCCTGTGCTAGAAATAGCTAGTTTAGTCCTTTTTAAAATTCTAATTACTAAAGATTTATATAATCTTCTTTTTAAAGATTTTATTTATTGGAATGCCTGGATGATTCAGTGAGTTGAGCATCAGCCTTAGGCTCAGGCCGTGACCCAAGGTCCTGGGAACGCCTCCCACCTTGGGGGGGGTGGGGGGGGGTTGGGGTGGGAGGGGAGGGTGGGTTGGGGGATGGAGGGGTGGTCCTTGCTCAGCAGGGAGCTTTCTCCCTCTACCCACTGCTCACCGTACGTGTGCCCTCTCACTTATGTTCTAACAAATAAATATATTTTTTTAAAGGATTGTATTTATTTATTTCAAAGAGAGTGAGAGAGAATACAAAGAGGCCTCCCACCAGGTAGGAGAGGGAGAGGAGGATGCTGGCCCATTGGGGGTCCGATGTGGGGCTGCATCCCAAATCCCCAGATCACGACCTGAGCTGAAGGCAGAAAGCACTCTTAACCAACTGAACCACCCTCGGTCCCCAAGATTTATTTGTATTTCAGAGGAGATGGACATGGGCAGAAGAGGGAGAAAGAGAATCTCAAGCAGCCTCCCTCTGGGCGCAGAGACAGAAACGGGAATACCAGTCCAGGACCCTGAGATCCCGACCTGACCTGAAATCAAAAGTCCAAGCTTAGTCAATTGAGACCCCTAGGCGCAACTCCTATAAATTATTTTAAACAGAATATTTGTTTCACATTCTCAAAATCTAGACATACCCGCACCATTTTTTAGAATGGGAATCTTCCAAGTTTTTCTTGACCTCATACCCTTCAAGTTTTTATCTGCATTTCCTTACTCCCCGGCTGCACACAGCTGATCAAGAATGCAAAAGACTCCAAATGAGAAATGATTTCCCTCCCTGATATCCCAGGACGATGCCTCATCAGCCACAGGAATCTCGGACTCGACCCCTTCCCCTCCGGATCTGCCACCAACAGAATATTTTCACTCCTTGCGGGGCTTTAATTCAAAGTAACAACGACTGATGCCCTATCGAAGCCAGGTTGGGGACAGGACAGAAGGCTCTGGGACTTGGAGAAACGTTCTAAAAACCTAACCGTGAGTATCACTTCTGACCAGATCTTAAAAACAGGTGAACGCAGAAGCCAGAAGCACCCGAACTCGAGGCATCCGCATCTGCAGCTTCTAAACACGAGGGTCTGCAGAGAAACAGAGGACACGGCTCCGCGGGGACACCAAGCTCACCTGAGAACCGGCCATTTCTGCCTTCGCCTCCACCTCTAGATTTCGTCCTCACGAGGGATCTGTGGGGAAATCACAGCTGCATCAGGAGAAAATGCCCTGAAATCCAGCAACAGAGCTCCTTCTCCTCACCGCTCGCCCACAGGCAGGACTCAAGAGATGCAGAAAAGGCCCAACTTCCCAGTCCTTTGTGTCCGGAGCAGCTCAGAAACTGTGAGCTCCCGTGAGGACACCCATCCCTGCATTTCCCTCACCTGCTTTGTGGGGAGGGAGGGATCCCCTGCCACCGCCACTCACACCTTCAGCATCAGCATCGGAACCGCAGGATGCATGGACCCGACCCTCCCAGACTCCCGGAGCAGAGACCAAAGCCACAAATCTACTCAGAAACCCACCGAAATCCCTCGGGCTCCGCCCTGGCCTCACTGAGAATCACCTGGAGCCCTTAATTAACACAACAGTGTTGTTTTCGCCCAAACCAACTGACAGAATCTGAGGGGGAGGCCCGCAGAGAAGATCCTTTCTGAAACTCCACAGGTGACCCTGCTGGGACGGAACTGGGGAGGTGACCAGGCCAAGCAGGGGAACCAAGGCTGGGGCTGGGAGCAGAGTGCGAGCCCTGCCTTCTCCACCATCAGAGTTTCTGGAGACTGACACCTTCTCTC